TTTTTTTTGGTTTTTCTCCGGTACCGGGAACCGAACTCACGACCTTGCGCTTGCCAGGCAGGCGCTTTTGCCGCTGAGCTAAATCCCCAGCCCCAATAGCAAGTTCTTTAAAGAAAATGAAGAGGAATGAAAGAATTCTCTTCTCAGATGGGGAAACTGAGGCAGAGTGCATTTAAGGTGCTTTCCCCAAGTTACATGAAAGGCTTAGCGCAGAGCTAGGCTAAACTTCCAGAATTCACTGACTAGCTCTGGCACTGTTTCACCATCTGGTCAATCGTTTATTTTTCTTAAGTATTAATAAAACAAAAACAAGTGGCAGGTTCCTAAATGAGTAATAGAATGAGACAGAGAAAAATGTCGGCATTAGAGGAGACGAATCTCACTAGCATCTCCTGTTAATGAGCTGTAAGAGTGGGCTAGCTGGGATCTTGAGCAAGTTCCCCTCCCTGGGTTCCTATCCCCCCCCTCATCTCACAAAGAAAGGCATCCACATGCATCATTTGGGAGGGTTTTCTAATACGAAGTTTCCCATTCTCAAAATAAAATATGGAAAATGCTCTATGTGCCCGTGTGAGGTGCTCTGCCTTCTTGCCTATGACGTTTTGGTGACTGCCGCCTCAGGCAGAGGGGTACTAGGAGGATGGGTCATAACAACACTCCGCCAGAGCTAGGCAGGGACAGGAAATCAGAGCCCCTCCTGTTCCTATAAGGGGTAACACTAAATCCTTACTTGAATCATGGATCTGTGTAAGTGAATTAGGAAAAGGACTCTTCGTGTCCTTCTAAAATTCCTGTGTTAAAGCCCGGATCTCCCACAGGAAGGTACTTGGAGGTGCACCTTTCAGAAGTGATCAGGTCCCAAGAGTAGAACCCGGTAAGTGGGATCAGTGGCCCTACAAGAAGAGACAGGAGAGGTGATCTGCCCCCTTCTGCCATGTAAGGGTACAGTGGAATGCGGCCATTTGCAAGCCACACACCTCGTCTGCTGGCACCTTGGTCTCGGCCTTTGCCATCTCCCGACTTTGTGAAATAAACACTTACTGCAAAGCCACCTGGTCTGTGAGATTCTTGTTATACAGCCCAAGCTGGCTAAGATACTAAATCATTCAAAACGCAAATGCTCTTACTTTCTTCAAGCTACTCAGAGTGTACACAATGTTCTTATTAAAACTTGAAGGACTCCTGGAACCGTAGGAACACAATCCCGCTAAAATAAACAGCAAATAAAATAACACAGCTAAGCAAATACTTAGAAGTGTAACTTTAAATATTTAGTCAGTTTTAAATCATAAGTAGGCTACAACAAAGTTCACATTTCAAGGGACGCTTTTCTTAAACAGAAATTTGTAAGAAAATGATGTCTGAAACCAAATTACACCACATGTTTATCTTTTGAGGGAAAACAGAATCAGGGGAATGGAGAATAAAACTTGATGATTCTCACTGCACTGCTTGTCTGTAGGAATTTCTGAATTATAGTCAGGAGCTATGTAATGGTGGACTGCATGTATGATGGTGGTCCCATAAGATTGTGATGGAGTTGGATGTTTTCTATTGCCTGGCAATTTTTTACTGTACCTTTTGATGTTTGTATGTATTTATCTGCACAAATACTCATCACTGTGTTATAATTGCTTAGAAGGTCCAGTAGTGTGTAACCGAGGAGCACTAGAATAAATATACTACGTAGTGTGGCTGTAATAAACTATACCACCTAGGTTTTCGTGTGCATACTCTGTGATGTTCACATAATGATAAAGTCACCTTACAACACATTTCTCAGGAAGTTCTCTATCATTAGGTGACACCACTAGGTGTGTATTAAGTGATATGGAAATGGAATAGTGACTTTGGAAGACTGTTAAAGTAACACAGATCCTCGTAGAGAATAGCAGATTCACAGCAGCCGTTCCTATGCTCTTATGAACCTGTCAGACACACCTGGTCATCTTAAACCCCTCAGTGCATGACTGTCAGGGGTCTCCTCATACCCCAAATTTTTATCCTTATTGAATCACTCTATCGCATGCATTTTTCTCGACACCTGCTTGATGCTGAGGGTCATTTTTCCCTCAATAGGCACCATTTCTAGCTTGCGGTTCTGGCATTCCTACCTCCAATTCTGAGTGGTCCAGCTAAAAGATCCCAGTTGATCTACATTAAATTCTGAATAAAACAATACCCAGTTAGAACCCAAGCAGACCCAAAATATGAGGGAGCCATCACTGGTAGGCTATGATAAAGAGAAAACATTAAATAACTGATACTAAGAACTTTAAGTCAACCTTTCTGGGTTTTGGCGTTGTTAGTCATAAAATGAAGGGAGTAGACTAAATAATTTCTTCTTTTTCTTCTGCCCCCTTCCTCTTCCCCTTCCTCTCCCCTCTTCTTCTACTACTTTTTTTCTTTGTAGTGTTAAGGATTAAACCCAAGGCCTCATGCATGCTAGGAAAGTGCCCCTCTACTGAGCTACATCTCCAGCTTTTTTCTTTTTCTTGAGGGACTTTAAGTTGCCCAGGCTAGGACTGACTTGTGATCTTCCTACCTCAGCACCCCTAGAGTGCTGGGATTGTAGGCATGCACTATGCCCAGCTCAGCTCTTTTTACTTTATTTGGAGACAGGGCCTTGCTAACTTGCACAGGCTGGCCTTGAATTTATGATCCTCTTGCCTCAGCCTCCCAACTAACTGGGATTACAGACCTGCACCATAGTACACAGCTTGGACTTTTAAGATCCTCTGACATTTATCTTCTGCTTTAACACAAAGAAACCTCTGAGCTGCCAACCCTCTGAGCTCCCCCTCTCTGCAGTACTCTCACTACTCTGTCTTCATTCAGTGACCAGCGTACTCTGAGCCCTAGAGTGCCAGGCCCGAGATTCCGAGCAGAACAAGGTCCCTACTGCCCCAGAGGCTGCAGTTTAAGGCGAGACAAAGGGTGCAAAGGACGAAGAAGCTGTCAGTGAACAGGAGCGTGTTACAAAGGATTGTTAGCTGAGCACAAAGGAGAGACACTAACCGAGGCTGGAGACAGGGCAGGAGGCCCTTCCCAAGACAGAGCATGCGTTAAGCTGCCGGGAGGACCGCATGCAAACGCAGCCCCAGAAGATACTTCCTGTGATGGTGGGCACCACAAGCGAGCCCTCTGCCCCTCACTCCAGTTGGTTTCAGCTCTGTTGAGTCAGTGGTTCCTAGGAACCCGCCCTGGGTGGAGGTCTGGGCTTCTCTCTTCCTGGGCCCTGTGTCTGAAGGGTCTCCAGCCAACGTCCACATGGCGTCCTCTTCCCTCCTGC